AAAAAAAAAAAAAAAAAAAAAAAAAAAAAAAAAAAAAAAAAAAAAAAAAAAAAAAAAAAAAAAAAAAAAAAAATACAATAATATAAAAAAAAATATTTTTAAAACATATTAAAATAATTTGGAGTTTCTAAGTCAAAAACAAATAAATTGCATAAATTCTATTTAGTTAATTTATCTTCAGTAGGAAATTTTAAATCACGAATTTGCTAACAAATATTATTATTGAGATTTTTTACAAAAACAGTTAATATTGTAGACTATTTAAAATGTTATCATTATTACTTTCTTCATCTATTTTGCATAAATCTGTATCATCATCTAATAACTCAATCTAATTGTCGACTACTTTATGCCACTCTTCTTCTAATTCTATATTATTTTCTGTTATTAACATACTAAACTTTTCATCTCGTATACTCATCTCTTCAAGGTCTTCTATTTCTATCTCATCCAATTGATTGTTCAGAATATTATTAGAATAATTGTCATGAATAATTATTATAATATCAGTGCATAACATTCACCCTATAAAAAAAGTCGATCCGTGTTTTATATTCCATGTTTTTTCCATAAATGTTGCATATTCACGGAATTTATAACCTTAAATCATGGAGATTATTCAGCTTTGTCGATCATGTTTCAAATTCACGGAGTTTTCAGGAAAAATATGGATAAATAATTGAAATATTCGGAAAAAATTTTTTATAGGGTCAATATAACAAAATACTCGCGCTTTTATTCTATTCCATTACAATTATACCAGGTCCTCATTTTAAATTTTATAAATCACCAAATTGATTCTGTAATCATAATTCAATGACAAAAAATTGTCAACTTAATTGATAATTAATTAATAGATATATATTAATAAATATTAGACTGTTAAAATTAATTAATAATGATCTGATGATGGAGTTGGGACGCCCTTATCTTTTAATTTAAATTTATAAAATCCAAATGACAAAGCAATACCACTAAGTATACCGACAACAGCGCCTCCAATAGTACCAACAACTATATATTTTACATCACTTTGATACAAATTATTAGATTTATCATATGCTAAAGAATTATAAGTATTATTGCTTACTGTCGTCGTTGGTATATTTTGGTAATTTTTATTTACTGTTGTGGTTATTGTACTTGTAAGATAAAGTGTAACCGGTGGTGAATTTTCTACAAACTTTACACCAATTGTGCGAACAGCAGCTGTATCATTATATGTAAAACCCCAATGACAGGCAAATACATTACAGGTTGGATAATAGAGTGTCAATGTTCCAAATCCAGAAATTACATCGGGGGGAGGAACAAAAGGTACCGCCGTTTCTGTGATTACTATACTTTTAGTTACTACGCCATTGGACCGATATGTACGAGTATAATAATGCGGTGCTTGTTGTCGTTCTTTTAAATCTCTCTCAATCACATTGTGATTGCTGCCTGACATATCACCTGAACCTCCGACAAGAGCTAATGATTTTTTAGGAAAAACTTCAACTATCGTCATATAAATAAATAAGAGCATAAACACCTTAAGAATTTTATTTAAATTTAGATAGCGGTCCATTTTTCAAAGAACTTCGGAGATATAGGCAAAAAATCCGAGAGTTTAATTAAATTTAAATTTTTATCAATTATTTGTGTAATCAATGTACGTAATTTCCAATTTTAAAAGTCAGACTCTGAAAATTTACAGTGTCATGAAATTTTATAAATTACACAAACAACAAACGTTTCCCTATAAAATGAAAATGAAAATGACAATAATTTTTATTTCAGTTTACGAATTCTTTATAATATATTAAAGCGAGAAAAACCATTAAAGTATTCTAAGTAAAATTATACGATAATTTTTTTTTTTATTAAATATTTTTAATAAAAAAAAAGAAAAACTCGCTAAAATAATCACACGCTAATATATATATTGGATAGCATCAATATTGGTTAGAAAATGGACTTTCCCTTATTAATAACTTAGCTCTATTAGGCGGCATTTTTGATACTAAATACCAAAGACATTGATTCCTTTACAACAAACACCTTCGATTAGAGGGCATATAAACACCTTCAATCAGAGGGTATGGTCACGTTAGAGAAAATCAGAAATCTTTTGAATAGTTGAATTTAAGGATCCGTATCATTTCACCAACAATCATTTCATTGACAGCTCATTTAACCAACATTACGCCAAGTGACAATTTACTAAAAATATATACCTGAAACTAATAAAACCCTAACCCTAACCCCATGTGATGT